AACCCCTGGAGACTCAGCTCAGCTCCAGCTCCCTCAGAAAGGCGAAAGCAGGCAGGAGCCCCAGGGGTCCAGGTGCAAGTGAGGTTTAGCCCTTTAAACAAATGGGAAACAGCATGAAAGGCTAAGTAGGAGTAAGAGGAACACATCAGACCAAACAAGCGGGGTCAGTGCAGACGTGAAAACACAGCTGTCGATTGCCCACGAACTGGCAAGTTACCTTGACGAAGCTCAGAGGGGAAAGCACATCCATGAGGAAACTGCTCCACGAGTCATTAAAGGCAGCATCGGAAAGGAGGCTTATGATCCCAGAGTTCAGTTCCTGCAAACTGACCATGCCAGCTCAGAGGCTTGGCCCCTGGCCTCCAGGCTACTTCCCCTGCCACAGATACTTAACACCGTGTTCACAGACTTTCCAGCCCTGAGTTCTGACGGCCGTGAGGTCTCCCTCCCCTGCCGGCTGATCTCCAGCCCCCTTTGCCGTTGCTGACCCAGGATCAGAAACATGGGACTGTCCCTGGAGCAGGCTGAAAGCTCCCGGCCTTCAGACTCCAAAGCGGAGGAGGGCAGGTCACAGTGGTTCCCACAGGGAAACCCGGGACTGGTCAGGGAAGGGCGAAGGAGCCTGCAGATACCTACCCAATGACATATATGTCAAGATTCAGGTTCTGGTTGTTCAGCTGAAGCAGGTCACTGAGATCTAGAGGGGGTGCTGCTGAGGCCACGTTCCAAGTCACGACATGTATGCTGTGGAAGGGAAGCAGAGGGAAGTCATGGAGGAAGGAGGGTAAGAGAGTGCACGGGGTCGGCCAGTCATGGAGGAAGGAGGATAAGAGAGTGCACAGGGTCGGCTGGGCACGTGGCTCACGCTTGTCATCCCAGCACTTTGGGAGGCCGAGGCGGGCGGATCACCTGGGGTCAGGAGTTCGAGACAAGCCTGGCCAACATGGTGAAACCCTGTCTCTACTAAAAGTACAAATATTAGCCCAGCATGGTGGCAGGCACCTGTAATCCCAGCTACTCAGGAGGCTGAGGCAGGAGAATCACTGTGGCTCACACTGCAATCCAAGCACTGTGGAAGGCAAGGAGTTCGAGACAAGCCTGGCCAACATGGTGAAACCCTGTCTCTACTAAAAGTACAAATAATATTAGCCCAGCATGGTGGCAGGCACCTGTAATCCCAGCTACTCAGGAGGCTGAGGCAGGAGAATCACTTGAACCTGGGAGGCGGAGGTTGTAGTGAGCCGAGATCGTGCCACTGCACTCCAGCCTGGGTGACAGAGTGAGACTCTGTCTCAAAAGGAAAAAAAAAAAAAAAAAGATAGTGCACGGGGTCTAGGCCTGCTCATGTCACCACAATCCGCCACACTCATGATGGAAATGCGGGTTTCTGTGCTAGTGGAGGGAATGGGGATACTGAACCATCAGCTGTCCGTCCTCACCTTTCTCAGCTGAAGCAGGAAATCCCCACCCTGGACTGGGTCCTCCATGCAGGCTCACAGCCGCCCACACCTGGCAGCACTGGTGCTGCTGATATAGCAGAGTTGCCAAAGGGAGCCCAAGACTTTCAGGTCAGGCTAGGGAAGGGTTAGGGGGCTGAACTGCCAGGAATATATTAATTCCATCAGCTCCTCCAGCCACCCACACACCTCTGTGATCATCTAGGGCTCAGTCAGCAACTTCCCATCCCTACTTCTCACCCCAAGTATTCCTAAGACCACCAGGAAGATCCTGGGGGTTCAGATTTTACCTTGTGATAGGCCTCAGCACTACAAGGGCAGAGGAATTTAAAAAATAAAAGAGATAACACCCCCATATTCCCTTCCTCTCTCCCCACTAGCAGATCCCAGGAAGAAACCAATTTTGCCAAGCACTTCAGAGAGCCTTTTTTTTTTTTTTTTTTTGAGACAGTCTCACCCTGTTGCCCAGACTAGAGTGGAGTGGGACGGTCTCGGCTCACTGCAGCCTCCGCTTCCCAGGTTCAAGCGATTCTCCCGCCTCAACCTCCCAAGTAGCTGGGATTACAGGTGTGTGCCACCACACCTGGCTAATTTTTGTATTTTTAGTAGAGACAGGGTTTCACCATGTCAGCCAGGCTGGTCTTGAACTCCTGATCTCAGGTGATCTGCCCGTCTCAGCCTCTCAAAGTGCTGGGATTACAGGCCTGAGTCACCGCGCCCGGCCAAGGGGTTTTTAAGTAACAGGTTTCTTGACATCTCTCTTAAGAGTCTATGTTCTACGTCTGTGTAGGATTCCGTGAAAAATAAAAAGTACTCTCTTGGGAAAAGTCATCAGTTGGATAACATTTTCCACCTCAGCTTACAAGTCTTAGGGAAGCAAGAAAACTAGATCAGGGGCCTCAATGACACGGGATCCAGTCAGAGGCTCAGAGGAAGGAGAGACCTACAGATGTCTTTGCAAAACAGTCAGTCACAGCAGCTCTTCAAGAAGCCCCAGACTGTGTGCAGCACAGAGCACGCAGGAGCTGCAGACCCTGCAGAGACCAGGAACAGCCTGGCCTGAGTCCTAGGCACACGATGAGGAGTACCTGCAGCAGCTGGAGATCTGGAATGGCAGAGGGTACAGGGGGACGGGAGAAAAGAGCAGATGATGCCAAAACATCTCTTCTCCAACAGACCCTGTTCTTAGAGGTTGACGTTCTCAAAGGCACTTCAAGAAATTCTTGGCCAGTTTAAAGTAACTTCCTGTCCCTCCCTGTTAGCATAAACACCACTACAGAAACCACGTTCCCAGGCACTCAGCCTGAGACTGTGTGCTTCGTTTGTTTACGATCTCCCCCTGCTGTCCGACAGAGGCTTAAGGAACAAAAGACCTTTTACTCAGAGTCTTATTTTCTCAGACTCACTCTAAGAGGATGGAGAGCAAAAGTCCGGATTTCTTGTTCCCACTCTCAAATCCGACGATTAGCAGCAAATCCAAGCATCGTGACTTACACTAAGTGGGCGATTAGCCTTGTTCCCCGTGAAAGAGCAGGCAAGAGACCAGGCTAAGTCACTTCACTAAAGGATCTTATCTCAATCTGATTTCGGGTTCCCGGGGGTCACCATGGGATCACGCAGACCTCCTGATGTATGTGCTGATGAGAAGCAGGAACAAGATTTCTAACCTAGAGCTGAAAGGTGACGGCCTCGTTATGTCTTTAACCTCAAACAACCCAACACGGCTGTCCTCTCCACAAAGCAACCGGGACACCTGCTTGCGCCCCAGTGGGAACGAGCTTGGCAGCCTCGGCTTAGAGGGGGCGCGAGGCTCGGGCCCAACACAGCCCACCTGACACAGGCGTGGGAGAAGGTGGTAGCGCCCCTGAACCAAAGGCAGTCATGGAGGTCTGGTGCCTTGTCTCCCGGTCTGCGTCCACCCCCAGCCCGCAGCCCGAGGGGGTCGGCGGCAGCGATGCCCCGAGCAGGCCTCCTCTGCCGCCAGCGTCTCCTCACCTGAGCCTCCTGCCCTTCGGCCCGCTCAGCTTCCGCGAGCTCATGGCCGCCGTCGTCCCCGCGCGCTGGTC